CCGCGACCGTGACGTTAGAATCAGTAGGGTCCGCGACCGTGACGTTAGAATCAGTAGGGTCCGCGACCGTGACGTTAGAATCAGTAGGGTCCGCGCTTACATCTTGGTCGGTTCTCCTAACCCCTTGGGGCCATCATGTTATAAAATTAGATCTCCAGGGTCTTACATACCAAAGGCTTGTAGTTCTTTATTCTTGAAGGAGAGCCATGAGCCGTGTCAGTCAGCCTCCTTAGCGCGTTAATTCAGGTGAGAGCATTGCTCATTTTTGTCCACCTCAACTAGGTCCATGTCCCCTTCTTTGCACTGACCTGGCTATTCCATGTTTTCCATGTGTCCTTAAGCATTTCTAGCTTAGTGAAATCAAAATTTAAGTTGCTTACCATTTACCCAGACTCCCCATAAACAGAAAACGTGGGGAGATCTGACTGACTGAAAATAGCACCCCTTTCCGTGCCAAATGGGAGCTGCTAGACCCGGCTCCTTACAGCCCCTCACAGACACCACCGGAAGGAAGCTAGAGATGGGAGCTGCTAGACCCGGCTCCTTACAGCCCCTCACAGACACCAACGGAAGGAAGCTAGAGAAGCTAGTTAACTGGATGCTCTCTGCTGTGCTCAACAAGTGCAGTGCACAAGCCTCCATCACTTGTTTGCTGGTTTGGAGGTGAGAAAGTAAACTTCTTTGTTGCAAAGAACTTAACAGTCTTAAATAATAACTTGGCTTGCAGTAAAGAGGAATAAGCAATCGCTTTTTAAATAGAATGCTAGACTAACTTAATGATATTTAACTCTCAGTTTTAGCCCATTTAAACCAGCCCTACGTTAGTCACCAGCCATCTTATAGCACACATTCAACGTAATTATATTTTTCAAGGGGCAACTATACAATACTGAGATGCTAATACATTAAACCCTAATTGGGAAAATGTTTTTGAAGACTCAAACCCAAAATAAATGATATATAACATTTTTACTGAATAATAATGAATACCATGTAAAATCAACCTCTGAAATTTCCTATGTATTGTATTACCTTTCTGTGCTGTTTTACCAAAGAAAAACCTGGCCCAATAGTTACTTACAATTTTGACATTATTACTCACTGGAGATCTTAGCATAGAAGGAGGACTTGAGAGGGGAGACACAGAGCGTAGATGATTATTGGACCCTCAAATTCGTTATTACCTGGTTATTCATAGCCCTGCAAAGCAGTTACTGGACAACAGTTTGCAGCTCTAGAACCCTCTTGGAATTGTGGAATCCTCTCACTGTCCGTCTGGACTCTCAGTTTTAGTGTGAGAAATGCTGTTTTTGTATAACCTCTAAGGCTGATTGTTTTTGCTTTTCTGAAGTGACCAGTTTGCATATTTACTGGTCCTACTTAATTCTGGCTGTCTATTCAGCAGAGAAGAAAAAGGAAAAATAAAGGAGGCAGCCAGTTAATGACAGACCTAACGGTTCTCCGGAGAACCTGGGGTCTGTGAGCAGAATGCTGCCCACCTGACATGCCGTACCATTCTGCTTGGCAGTAGCCATTTGCTGCTTTTAAATAAGTATTACTTTCTCTTGCTGATTGTGACTGTAACCAAATGAGATGCTTTGAAGAGTGTAATCTCTTCCCTTCTAGTCATAAATGAGCCCTTGTGTGCTGTTTCGGTTCACTTCTGATTTGCAACTAGATTTTTTTTAAATGACTTCAGTTGTTTGTGGGCTTGCGTGATGAGTGGACAGTCTTTTTACAGGATTTTACTATTCTGCAGCAATTTCTCTTGCCAGCAGAGAAAACAAAGGTATCTAGCCAAGTTTAACAGCAGAGAGGTTTTATTGAAATGTCCTTAGCTTCAGCCCGGGGCTCCTGGGAGGTAGATTTCCACGGAAGGGGGAGGAAAGTGGGAGACTGGCCGGAGGGCAGGGGGCTCAGCGCCGGGAGCCAGCTGAACCCCGTCTACTCACGTCCAGTTACCAGGAGAGGTGCTGCCACTGTGGCCAATTTTATGGTTGGGGTTGGTAGTGAAACGCTTACACCTAAAAATGGAAGTATTTCCGCCTTTTTGGTTGGCTGGGTCTATACTGTATAAATGTACGTGAGTCTTTGGCATGTTGGAGGGCCAGAGGGATGCCACCCTTCCCCCCTCAGTCCTCACGCTCCATTATCCTCTAGACGTAGCGCCATTAGAGCAAGTAGCATTCACAGCGAGAACAGCTCTCCGGGGAGTCAGGAAGACATTCCGGTGCAGCCGGTGCCGGACCAGGTGACCGCTAGGACAAGTCATTTCTCCTTTCTGCATCTTCTAAATTCATGACAGTTGCCTGAGCTCCTGGCCTCTTCCGTGTTCGCCTCCGGTCCACGGCCTGCCATCGCAGCCTCAGGGACCCCACCGAGCCTCACAGGAAGCAGGGCTTCTTGTTCATGACCAGGTGCCTGTGAGACTTAGAGCCATGCGGCTCCAAATGGATCTGACATGAGCTAGCATCACACTTCTAGAACAAAAGATCTTGATGAATGCAATTGCCAACTGATAACGGCTCCGGTTCTCTCTGAAGTTGAATTCATGTGTGTCAGACCTTTAAAAATAACAGATGAAATACACATGTATTTATGTATATGTATGTGCTTATACACATGTGTTTATATGCATGCTTGGCGTTATATGTTAAAACATGGTGTATTAAATGAAGACAGCTAAGAGAATCTGTCTGTCCTCCACAAGCATTTCTATGACCCAGCAGAGGAGGCAGGAACTATCATCTACGTTCAGTCTTTCAACTGGAGGTCTGTGTCTTCTCTTTCTAAATGTCAGAAAGATAATCCTGAATGGGAAATTACTTGGGCATGGGATAAGACATACGTATATAACTCCGGGTTTCTCTGGTGACAGAACTAGGTACCAAGGTTAGGCTTGGTCCTGACACTGCCTCTGACTACGAAGTAGCCAGGGAAGCCCACGCAGACTCCAGGTGCTCAAAAAGAAGACACTGAGGTGCGAACCCTTTCCTTGTGAGACTCCGGGTTAGAAAGGGAAGCGCTCCCACCTCCCTTCCCCGGGTTGGTCCCGGAGCTGTCCAGTAGCTACAGGAACGTCAGCTTCTCATAGCAGTGCTCATGTTGAAGAGTTAGCCGCTTTATTATTATCTCGAAGTAGTTGTACAAAGGCGTTCGGCTCACAAAGCAATTTATACACGTAATGTGTCTTTATCGGTGTTGCAGCTTTCAACATTTCATCCATCCCTCCCGCCCCACTCCTTCCCGAACTTGTTTTCCATTGTGATATTTTATTTTCTTGCCACTATGTTATTTTTCCACTTATTTCTATCTTTACATAGTTGTCCAGAGGGATGCCATTTCACGAAGCAGTCTGTGGTATAATGTATCTTGATCAGTGTCATTGACTGCATTATTCTCTTCTCTTGGTCTGCCCACCCCTTGCCCCTTGGC